AGAATATTACATGGGCGCTTGGAGATACGAAATTTATCTTCTCGTGTTGAAAATCTCTCACTCGTTCGCTGCGCTCACTTGTGAGAGATCTTTTCAACACTCGAAGATAAATTTCGTATCTCCGCGCGCCCATGTAATATCCTCTATTTATTTTAATCACATGGAGTTTCTTTAGTTATTGTAATTTGTGAAACGCTTTAGAGTATCAATAAAATAAAATAAATTAAAAAATATTATTATATAAGTAAATTACTGTGAGATTTGTAACATTACAAAATTGACAAGAGGGTCTTCACGAAAGGCGACTCCTCTTAATCCTAACCCTTAGACCTGTAGTAACCATTATCTTAAAACATAATACAAGAATAATAATTTGGACGTACAGCTAATTCTAAGGCTTTTATCTTTCTGTCATGGCATTCCAGCCTTTGCTCCAAAGACTCGATGATTTTATTAATGTTGTCCTTATACTTCTCGAAATCACTTCTTATGCTGTTCAAGGCATTGCCTCGACGTGCTTCATCTTCTTCACAGTTTTCCAAATGCCTCACTTCACAAGTCAATCGTTCAAGTACTGTATCACTAAGCTTAATAAACTTGACCTGGTCTGTAATGTTACCCATACAAAGTTGGACACCTGAAGGTAAATACATCAATCCATATCAATGTATTATGATAAACGTTATAGCATAACCACAGGTAGCCCAAGCTTGGTTTCTGTGGTGTCCTGTTATAAGGAAATGTATTGAGATTCATCAAAAATTTCAATAAAATTATTGAAACGTGAAATACAGCCTCGGAATTTTACCCGATCATTGAGAAATAGCACTTCTTTTGTTCTGTGTGGTTATTTTTTTAATTTAGCCCGTTTTAAGATTTTTTCCCCCACCAGTAAGAAATATTTATTACTAAGTGCTATTTCTCAATGATCGGGTAAAATTTCGAGGATTTATTTCACATTTCAATGATTTTATTGAATTTTTTGATGAATCTCCATACATTTCCTTATAAGAGGACACCACAGAAACCAAGCTTGGGCTACCTGTGGCATAACATGAATCAATTAGGGCCTTGTGGTATACCTCTTAAATACACAGCTATCCCAAAAAGGTTTTGCTGCATGTTGTGGCATATTGCATGCTCCAAGTTGCATCGTGTTTGTAGCCTACTACCGCTGGAAAAGTTATCATATTCGAATTGTAATAATGTCAACACAGAAGAAAATATACCGCGGAAACCGTGTAGACAAAATTTGGTAAAATTCCATATCGTTGTGACCTTTCGCTGATTGCGTTCACGTCCTCCATAGGGCTTGGAATGCAATTTGCAACTTACAACAAAATCTTCACCAAGTCATTTCTTTTCATTCTCGAAGGAATACCTATGCATGTTACTTTTATATATTGAAGGATTTACACGTAAAATTACTAACACTTTAAAAGGTTACACTTTCAAAGGCAGGAGTGTTTATTCATTTTCTTACCTTTATATTTCCATTCCTGAAGCTCATCCGCGATTCTCTTCTCTTCTTCAGGAGTCAGGCGTAAAGCCTTTACTAAAGAATCGATCAGCTTGAAGCAAGTTGTAAATTTTGTTTTATCCCAGACAGAAAAGTTGCAGTGGCCCCATTCATTTCTGACGTCTTTCCGCACTTGGTTTGATAAGTCTTGGACGTCTGGGGAAAATGCGCTGGCGGAGGATAGAATACCAAGAGAAGCAGATAAATCGCAGGTGCCATCAAAACCTGCCACGAAAAGTACAAAAGATCCGCATAGTTTGTTAAATACTATTTGCTGATTGTATTTATTCAGTAACATTAAAATGAGGTAAGATATTATTTATGATTTCCCTCAAGCTGTTGCTGCAAAAGACGACACAGGGTCCACTTCGAGGTACGTTGCTCCAACCCCTTTAAATTCTTATACCATAATTCCACAATCAACCCAATAAGACCCCAAATTTTTGTCCGAACCACAACCTCCCTCGATCACGAACGTCCGATCCCCAAACAACCGAGCCAACTGCGGGTGACAGTGATATGTGGATCGACAAGTTATTCGTTATTGTTGTATTTATGGGTCTGTTGACAAAAAAAGTTTGCAAACTTTTGAAGAATGGGAAAAAAATAATAACTTTGACGATAAATTATATTGCAAGGCATTTGCGACCTTCCTTCAGTACAGTTCAGGTCAGTTTTGACGACTAACCGTCTTTAAGCGTTTTCGCTTATATAGAAAGCCTCGGTTATACAAAATTGCTTCAGGTTGCATGAGCTTTCCCTGTGTGTAGCGCTTGCGCAACTGATATATTTCGATTCTGTCAATAGACTAAAGTTTTTTAAACAGTCTATAAAGTCTATAAAGTTTAAAGTCTGTCAACGTGATAAAGAAAAAAACCATGTGAAAGGACTGCGCCTATAACGTTGCAAAAATTTCCAGCGATGAACTTTCGTACCTGAAAAGTTAGCCATAAAAGGTTGTAAGTACAATTTGGCTAAATCTACAGCAGATGTAACTCTGTAGTCGTAAAGACGAGCTTCCTTTCTGTGATTTGCTTCGTTGCTGTTGATGCTGCCATAATTCAAACTGTTGCATTTTCCATCTTTGCGAAGGTGTCCATGGTAAACCTGTTCGTGGATGTTGTGGGTGCTTTTGAGTTGAGAGTAGAGGCATAGCACCTGTGGTTCAATGAAACTTCGCAAGTTTGGCAGAAGTATTTTATTTAGGCAAATACCAATCACCAGCCATCTCTTCTGGTTATCGCTTAAGTCAAAGGTTGGGTTAACTGAAAATAAAACAGGGGTAAATATAAAATATGTATGGATAGTGTGCTACCATGCCCATCCGTGAATTTGGATTGATTCACTGAAAACCTCATTAAACATGTCAGTAGTTTATTAAGGAAACATAACTGCTCTAAACGAAAAGAAATGAAAACATTTATCACGGAAATACCTAAATTGTGACCATTTTTTAATGTGTTGGCATGCATGCTTTTGCCATCAAATTCCACTAGCACAGCATGGTCACATTATAGACAGCTATGAAACCGTTCGTGACTCAAATTTTCGATAGTTTTGGGAAGCACGGGTGGCGTAGCGGTGAGGGCGCTCGCCTCTCACCAATGCCGACCCGGGTTCGAGTCCCGCTGAGCTCGGTGTCGTATGTGAGTAGAGTTGTTTGTTGGTTCTCTCCTGTGCTTCGAGGGTTTTCCGGGTTCCCCGGCTTTCCTCCCTCTGCAAAAATCAACTCCTAAATTCCAATTTGAATGACAGTGGATGAATAGCTACTCTGTAGAAACGCCACTGCTAGATCCCATTTATTTATTTATTTTTCATTCATTTTTGTTTTTTTTTTTTTTTAGTTCTGCATGTATCTTGCATTTTTCCTGTCTTTTTCGAACAGGCTAGAGTTCTCATTTATTTGAATTAGCTCCCTTCGACCCCAAGGGACAAGACATGATTACCGTAGTTTAAGTGAGCTTGGTCATTACTTTTTATCTTTCCCTAGACTAGAAGCCAAACCAGTTTTATACTAACCTGAAATGCCACCAATAGCGCATCCTTCTTCATTGTGCATTGGAACCTGTTGTATGGATACACAAAATAATGAGAGATAATAATCTGAACACGTGCTGACCACTACCACTCTACAAAAAATATCCTTTTATCGTTAATTATATAATGCTAAGGAAGAGACTAAATTGTGGATGAGACTCAACTAAAGAATTCTATTCCTACAGTCTGGAATGACACGTGTTCTAAATATAAAACGTTACGCACAAACCGAAAAAATAAAAGTAATTTTTACGCTGAAATTTGTATCTTTAAAGTTTTATCTTGTATTCTCATAAGATGGGGGCGAACTTATGATGAAGGAAAGTATACTATATACCTGATATACAGGATGAAAACGGTCGAAGTATACTTACTATTAGATGCTCTCTATACCACTCTTCCAGTCCAAGAACGTATGGCTTCGATTCCTCACCGATGCCTTCCCTGCAGACCAACTCTCGATCCTCTTTAAGAGGCAACAGGTGAAGACAATCATCATCAATACACGACTCCAGTTGGTGTCTTTCACACTTTACAACGTGTCTAGAAGGACAGAGCACGCAGATTTCATAATTCAGGAATTGGTACCAGTGGCATTCTTTTGTTATTTCTTTCAAAGAACGCTCCAAAAATTTCCATATTTGAAAGGGAATGGGCTGAAATACCCAAGATCTTTCTGGTTGAAGTGATCTGAGCACGACTTTCACAAAACGCTTTCTGCGTATTAGAAATAGCTCATATGCATAAGTACGACCGATGAAAAACCTTGAAACACTTTGATAGAGCTTTGGCTTGTGGGGATAGCCTTTCTCGGAGCACCATGTAATCAGTCTAGACACTAAACAGTTGTACAGACCATGGGGAATAAATCCATCTAGACAGTGTAAATACAAAGTGCATGGGTCTGACTTGGAAGGACCAACATCAAAAAATGCTTCAGGGGATGACTTCAATTGAGCAGGCACAAAATAATGTAAGCTCTTTGGGTCTTCGTTTCCTCGAAATATAGCTATGAGTCCATAGTGCTCCATCATGGCTAGAATATCATCTTTTGTCTCTCCATGTTCAAGTTTCTCTTTGAAGACGTGTTCGACAAGTTCCATGTCAAGAATACCGGTTTCCTCCAAGGTTCTCCAATATCCTGAGTTTACTGGATGCTGAAACGTAGCAAAACAAAGATTCTTTACCGAGACAGAGGTTAAACATCATTAGGATATGAATACATGAACAAGGGTAACAATGATTGGAATAAACTTGAGGGGGAAGGGCTGTTGGTTATACACCTATTTCAGAAATCGTTTTCGCACCAAAAGCCTCAAGCAACAAACCAAGACCGCAGAGAACGCCGGTTCTTTTAGCTGTAATTAGTTTATTCATGATAATTAGTGGAGAACTATAGCCACCGCATGAACATTGAATAAATTAATTATAATTAAAAGTACCGACGTTCTCTGGAGCCTTGGCTTGTTACTTGAGGCTCTTGGTGCGACAACGATTTTCGAAGTAGGCGTATATGCGAGCTGACCACTGAATGAAAACATAAAAACAAGTGAGGCAGCGCCAAAGTTCTTCTATCCCCGAGTGTAGGTCTCATGTAGGTGATTGAACGCTGATGACATTTAACTAATACTAAAAAAAATAAAATAAGTAAAAGCTAGGGCACAATATAAGAATGACAAAGAGGACCACACTTGTCGTGAAATTCAGGTTAGAAAAGGACATTTACTAACCTGTTCATTGAAAGGTCTGATAGTAATGAGTTTCCTAAACAAATCAATAAGCCATTCAGCCTTTAGAACGACTGTGTTTCCATGCTTCAAGATGACACCGAGGTCGTGGTAAAAGTTTAGCAGAGCTGAGATCTCTTTCTTGTCTTCTATGTCGCAAACCTTTAGGATTAATCTTTCAAGGTCCTTCAACGACATATGATTCTTCCCTTCTTCTTCCACTAAACTCTTAATAACCTAAAGAGCCAAAACAATACAGCTTAAGTTTAAGAAAGAGGAGGGGATAGATGGTAGGGGTCTGACTGGTTTAAGGACTCGTAAATAGCACATTAAAAAATGTGGATTTAGGATATATTTGAACACTGACTAGGAAATGGGAAAAAAATAGAATATAATACAAAGTTCTTGACTAGGATCAAGGCGCAGTCAAGGGAACCTCAATTACTTTTGGCGTTCTCCATGTCAGTGCATCATCATCTCTCCACGGTTAAACCTTCGTACAGTGGCTATCAATTGCAAGGCGATGAAAAAGCAGTCTCAAAATTAATGCCACAACTTAAGTTACCCGGTGAAAGTTACTATACTTAGTATTGGAGAATTGCATTTTTGTTTACCTGTTCAAATTTAAACCAACGTACGGGAATTTTTTCCCCCATGTAGGGCTCCATGCAGAAAAGTTTTTTGACGTTTTCCTTGAGCTTCTTTACGCCTTCATCATTAGACGAATTCCAATTATTGACCGTAATAAAAGGCCTTAAAACATGGTTTTCGTAGCTCTTTCCGGTCAAACTTTTTTGTATGATTTCTTCCATTTTCTTTGGTTCTTCAAATGGACAGTCGGCATGAGTCCCAGTGATGAAAACAGGAGGACGTAAGTATGGGAGTTTCTGCCGTATTTCGCGGCCTACATCGCTGGCTTCTGGTCGAGCAGTATGTATTGACACGAGCCATGAATGAAGAGCTTCCAAGTTAGTTTGCTGGTCATGATTGTCCAAGCGTATCTCATGCACACCTTGCCTTACACGAGGTTCTGCCACAGCTACTAAATCTTTTTTAAGGTTATAAACCAAAACATAAACTGCTCTATGAGAAAAGAACACAGGATGAGAAGCGTAGTAAAGTTGTTGACCTGCGAAATCCCAAATACTGACAGTAGTTTCCTGTCCTGCAGAAGAACCTAGATTTTTCGCCGACAAACGTTGGATTAAGTTTTCTATCACGGTTTCTGGTACAACATCTTTTCTTGTAGCATTTCCTGTTTCAAGGTCATCTCCTTTGCTTTCTTTCTTGCTTTCCTCTGAGACGTCGTCACGACTACTGTCAACAACAGGGTTACTAGCAATATTGGCATCCTGTAGGTTATCAGCTTTATCGAGGCTCTGGTCAACGTCGACATTGCTTTCCTGCGGTACAAGTGAGTTTTAATGAAAAAGCGTTTGTAAAAATGTACACTATATACAAATGCGTTATAGTGCTAATCGAAAAATAATCTGTTGTTGTGCCTCCTGTCATGGCTGCCATCACACGATGGTGCAAAGCTTCTATAGCAGAATATATATTATTTAATTTACAGAATTGTAAATGTGGCTTGCAAGAGAAAATCTCATTGAACAATGAGGAAAAAATGTATTCCCTACCTGTTGGGGTCTCGATTGGCTCTGAGAAGAGTCCGGTTCTTGTATTTTAGGGCTTTGATTCAACAATTGAACCATTACGCGAGCAACACCATCTTCATAGTTTTTGTTTGCGTCACCGTTTTTTGATATCTGCCAGTCTACAGTAGCATCATCAACGTCAACACTAAAGCTAGATGGATCTACCACTACTCCATTTGTGCTTTGTTCTTTAGGGTCAAATGACAAACCAAGAAGGGACTTTTTGAGACTAGTTTTTCCGGCTCTGTCCTGACCAACCAGCATTATTCTTCCTCGATAAACCTCTACCTCGCCGCTCTTCAGAGCTTGTCGATACACTTTCTCAGCTTCAGGACCACGACAACGGATTTCTAGTGGAGCTGAAAATAACGAAAGATATCAAAGATATAATTTGTTTTTTTATTCGTGCTCAAAGCAGAAAGGATGTGAGGTATAAGTACTGATTAAGTGCTATAAGTGCTGATCTAGCCTGCGTGCAGCCGAACTACGAGAAAAAAGTCCGGCTGCACGCTGGCTAGTGCTGATTCCATGCTCTTCAATAAAATAAACCTCTTTATCTAAGTGTTTAGTCGTTCTAGCACTTTCGCACTTTTGCCTTAGTCTCCTTTGCGGCCGTCATTAGTCTCGGTCCTCACGGGCTCGTGAGAATCTGGGAGCGAAACTAACGACGGCTGCGTAGGAGACCAAGGGATTCGTTTTCAAAAGAAAAAAATAATTTAACTATAAGTAACTATTAGGTGACTTTATTTTGCGGGCACAAGAGTTTTTCGCACCTGGCATCCGGTTCTGTGTTAACATTTTTAGTAGACATCTCTGCACAACTTGATGTACGCCAATTTCTTTTGGTCGGCCGTCAAAAGAAAGAATAAGTGAACATGAAAGGATTGCGGCCACGATATCTTTATTTTCCTTTGGCAAGCAAATTTTTACATATTGCACGACATCTTCCAGTGGTGTCCTCTCGGAAGTCGTAACCGCAGACAAGAAGTTAAAAGCATGCCACATTACCGCATCTTCTGACATTTCTTTTTCTATGGCCAACTGGACTACTGCCATCAACGTTTGAGAATATCCCCTTTCAGCTGTCACTTCTTGCTTGTCCTGAAGTTTTGACAAGTATCCTTGCCATGAGAACGCTGGTGTGGTCATGCGTACACGTTTCATGTAAGTTGCAGCACATGCAATTGCCAGCGGTTGCAAATCAAGAGCCTTGACAACTTGCAATGTCATTTCGTCATCAGAAGCAATGCCAGATATATTTGGAAGCGCTCTTATTGCTTCATCAGGATCCATACCGCGACTAAGGGATAAATGGTAAGTGTAAGATCTAGAAGCATCATGAATGAATCTACTGTCTCGAGTGACAATTACCAGTATCTGACCATTGCCGTCAGTCTTTTCTTTTGCCTTTGGCAAGTATCTGAAGACTGATTTCAGGTCTGTGACGTTATCCACGATCAGGAGCCATGAGGAATACTTCCGCAATTTTGGGGCTACTAGACTTTGAAGATGACTGATAACTACGTCTTCCTGAGAGAAACTTGCTGTAGAAGTCTCATCACACTTTAGGCTTTCTGCCAACTTGAGATACGATCCTATCAATGTGTCGATAGATGATGCATTAAGAGTGAACACAAATTTTACTTCTGTCTCCTTATCGGGAACATCATGAAACACTTTCTGACCAATCTGTCTAGCTAGTTCACTTTTGCCACAGCCAGGATTCCCAGACAGATAGATTAAAGTTATTTCGTGTTGTTTAGCATTTCTCAACTTTTCCATTTCCTGTAGTATGCTCTTGATTTCTCTTTCACGATGGATAACGTCATGGCAGGGTTTGGGTGGCAAAACGCAAACACCTTGTAGTTTCTCGTTACGCATCTTTTCCTTTTCTATCAGTTCCTGAATGACTCAGATTGGTTTTATAAGAAACGCTTACTTGGTTTTCCTCGATATCAGCTATGTCCAGTTTCAGGAAGTAGTTCAGCATGGCGACTGAGTAATCGCTCCTTGGCTGCATCTACCTGTAATCACGACATGTACACAGTAAGCAAGAAAACCACAATCTCGCAAGAAAGTCGACAATCTAAAAATCCCGGGGGCGGTTTTGATTTTCGGACCCAGGGGAAATCGGGGCTGATTGTGCTGATGAATAAGTGCTCACTGAACCGCAACACACAGAGAACTCTTGGTCACCAAACTGGAACGTTTAGAGAACTCTTGCCTATTCAACTGGAACGTATAGAACACAGAGCTTTAGAAGTAATTTAGAAAACCTCGCCTTCGGCTCGGATTTAATATAGAAAAATCGTGGTCGTTTTGTATGGAAAATATGGAAGATATTGCGCGTGAAAAAAATCAGCCAATTAAAATTCTAGAAAACATCACTGTCACGGCACGGCACGCATACGGCACTGAGCTTTTCACAGTCTTTCGAAAACTGCTCTAAAACTGCTCTAATAAAGATTTCAAGGACCTACTAATCCGTCAATACATCTGTTAGGCCAAATCGATTTTGTAACTATAAATTTTTATATTTCTGCATTTGGCAAAACAGATTTTAACACTCATTTCAGAAAACGTTGTCGCAGAGAATTCAGCCGGATAAACCATAAAATAAACCAGTAGAGTGCTGACACTAAATCCGTGAAACAAATACTAATTTTTAG